TTGAGTTATTAAATGGATTTCGATGTTATTTGCTGTTGTTGATACTGCCCTTCGAAACATGTAATCCTTCCTATAGATGAGAATTCTCTGTCAAATATCCAATTTCTATTTTGCTATTGTGAATGCTGTCTAGAAAAACTGATGACTTTATTCTTTTTTTCCTATCTCAGTTCTATTACTTATCTATCGATTTTCTGTAGCATAATAATCCCTTTATTGTGCTCCAACTTCCTTACTCATTTCACTTACATACTGTACAATTCTCTTCATAAATTTTCACATGCATTAAAGGATCTTTTTTTAAAGGCAAAAGTCGTATGGATTTGACTAAAAGGATTCAAAATAGGAAGTTCTAGGCGTTAAGAATAAGAAGTCTTTTGTTCAATATCTGCGCAGACGTTTCGTTTCGGATGTAATAAGACAAGACAAGGGGAAATCGTCAGCACCACATCATCGATATCAATTCATTTCTTATTCTATATATAAACTTCTGATATAGGCAATTTTTTTCCGGCTGATTCACGTATAAAGTATTTTTTTCTGTCGTCTAGCATTTTTCAACATTGACTGAGAATGCTAATAAAAATCTCAATTGCAACATAAGGTGTCTCAAATTGTTTTTATTCCTCCCTCCTACTTGCTAGCATAGATCTTTTTTGTGCTGATTCAGATCCTCGTTCGAATTTTTTTTTTGTGCTTGATATCTCACACTTGCCAACTCTTCTTGTTATTGCTTGCCACTCTTTTTTGTCCTTGCTGGTTTGATTTAGAGATTCAAGAGCTAAACTGTTTTTTTTTTGTGAACTTAAAGTTTTGAGAATTTATTTGGAATTGCTTGTTTTGATAGAAATTTTATTTCTTGAAAAATTATCAAATTAAAGTTTGAAATTTAACGGTTTTTTAAAAATTTGAAATTTTTTCACAATTTTAAGATTCTAAGTCCTTAACCTGCAAAAACTCGATAACCTGTAAGGACTTACAGGTTGTCCTTACCCTGTTAAAATTCGAATCTCTACGACATAAAAGGCTGTAAAAAACGAAAATCGAAAATGAATTTCCTCATTTCGATGTCATAATATACATTGATACACAGAACAAGCAAGTGAGAGAGAACTAGAGTGAAATTGATAGCAATTTGTGACAAAATAAATCACGATAAATCAATTTGGCATTGGGAAAATGAATAACATGCTGGGAAGAAAATTGCATGGAAAATGAGTGTCATTTGTTGTTGGAGAAAATTTCTTGTTAAAATCAGAATAGATTTCCTCATACATAGATTCAAATTGATGGAATAAGGGAAAAAAGTGTGAGCTGGTAAATTAAATTGATGATAGAGAATGTTTGAACTAAAATAGATTTAATTTGGGTTTTCATGAGATGATGAGAATTATTCGATTGAGGATTTGGAGGGTCGTTCATAAATGATGTTTAATAATTATTAACAAGCTAATGCTGTTTGTCATTTCGAACGATTATATTTTTTACGCCCTTTCAAACAGTTTAAGTACTGTTTTAGAGGGCTTTTTCCTTAATATAATAATATAAGAGAAATGATGAATAAAAATTCAAATTCAATTCAAATTCTTCAAAAAATTTTGTTTTAAGGGACATCATTTATAAATAACTCCATTCATCGATACATTTTATAAGCATGCATATCAAATGGAATTAAAATGAATTATGTTTAACAAGCAGCTCATGTCTTTCGATTGAAAATACTTTTGGAAAGATTGGCAATTTTCTTTTCAATGTCTTTACATTTGTTTAGTCTTTAAGATCAATCAATTATTCAATAGAAGATATAAAGATTATTTTGTATGACAAATACAGTTCCAGAAACTAAAGACTAAGATGTAAACAGATTTATTGTTAATAACATGCCATATAAATTCATTAAAATCTCCCCATTTCTCTCGACAAGAATTCCTTAAATTTATTTTTTGATAAAATTTTTGTCTTCATAAAAATCAAGCTATTCTAGTCTTTCAAAGCAGCATATAAGTAGAGGAAAATTCTCCCAGAAATTATTAACGTCTACACTTACTAAATTTAAGTAGATAAACTTCTTTATGATAGTAAAGAACACATTCTGTATGAAGAGAACTGTATATTCAAATGATATCATCATCCTCGCATTGCATGCACATTCCTTTATATACCATAACTATCATAAATGAAAGCAAAAGCATAACTAGTAAGGAATTTTGCCTTGTGGCGAAAAATATTTCTTTCTTTTTTTTATTTTATTTTCTTTTTTAATGAAGGAATTTTCCAGAATTTTCTCTTTCTATATAAACGAATTTATATAATATTTTTTATAGTTGCGAGAATATGCACGATGATGTTGCTCTTTTGATTTTCAAGAAAAGAAAATTTATATCTTTCAACACAAATTCCACCGCATCTTTTCATAAAGCATTGAATGAGATGGGATGGAGATGGAAAAAGGAGGGAAATTTCATAAACAGAGTTCTCGAAATAACTTAAATGTTTGTGCATTCTGGTTCGTTGAAAGAGTTCACAAACTACATTGTGAACATTCATCTAGAACATGCATGGAATTATAACGTATTATTTTAAATTATTAATTTCTTCAACGCTTAATTTGAATTTTTCCGCCATTTTCTGTAATTTTTTCAAGACAAATGAAAGAGTTTATTTGCTAAATCTGCAATTTAGATGCTTAATTACTGAAAATGATAAACAATTCCTGTTTGCTCACAAAAATTGATTATCATTCCGTCATCCAAAAAGTAATAAGCTATTGATTGAGCTTAAATTTTACAATCAAAATCTCAATGTGAGAAAAATGATTTTTTTTTATCAAACAATAAAATTAAGGAGCGAAAAATCGTTACAAAATGGCAGACTTTACTCGACATCCTGATCCATAATTTGTTGACGAAGCCTCAAATTAAAAACTTACTCATTTAACATAAAAATATTTTCCTAAAGAATTTTCTATTCAATATTTTTTTTAATGAACTAAATACAAAAATTTTCTGCAACAAAATTTTCCAGAATGAAAATAATTTTTAATGATATGGAAACAGAATGTGTATGTGTGTATCTCTCATGCAGCAATAATATTTGCCTGCAAGCTATTTGATATGTGTAATATTCTCCATCATTAAAACAAATACAGATTTAAAAGACACGCTTGAATCAACAGCTAATCTTTTTATCTGTTTCACAACATTCACATAAATACTCATTTTATTTAAATATTTGAGCAGTAAAGGAAGGAGACACTGTTAGTAGTTAAACATATTTAAATTATTCATATGTTTTATGCTTTTTTTTTTGTTTCAACTTAACTTTTTTCATACGTATTATTAAAGTTCTGGATTATCTTTCGGGAAACAGATGAATGACATTCACTTCCGTCTGCTCATTTTAAGTGAATTTTGAATTTAATTATTTAAAGACTTGCTGGTTATTTACAAAAGCTTAGTGTTAAACTTCAAGGCACAAGTTCATTCGCTGGATCTCTGAAAATCTTGAATTGTTCCTTAGACCCTCGATTGTTCTAGATCTACATGAATCTAGAGTTCGAATAAGTAAAATCCCAAAAAATTGTAAACCATCAAGGATCAAAAATTCCCCACAAATAAGGAATAAACGAAGATTATCAAATGTCATGTATGCTCATCAGCATATTCGATTGCTTGTCGTATTTATCATAAATACCTTTCAAAATATCCACTTAACAATTTCCTGTCAATTTATAAAATATTCAAGATTGAGTGGCATAAAAAGAATGTAAGGATGAGCCATAAAAAGGAGGAAACCCATCATCCCTTACAAATAAATCAAAAAATCATGAAAATTGTATCATTTCGTTTCAACAATCAATGAATAACTTAACTAAATCCCTTTTCAAACGTTTTACTTCCTCTCTTACTCCCACCTCTATCTGCCTTTATTTTTCAATGGGCATGAATTCCTTCTTTATTTGCCTTTTTGATATTTTACTCTCCACAATGATGTAAAGCAGAAATTATGCAGGAAAAGGGATATTTTTCAACTAAAAAAGAAGAAGAAGAAGAAGAGAAATAAACTCTTTAAGGAGCTTAGAATGATTACAGTTATTGTTGTTTGAATGATATTTTTCCTCTCTTGTTATTTATATTACGTATAATATTCCATACTTATGACTTACTGATTCAAAGTCGTTGCCAGGTATGAAGTGATTCTTTCACTTTTTTTTCACATCAAATAGAAAGCTTCTCACACTTTTTACAGAATATTTTTACTTTCTCGCTCTACTTCCATCAATTCGACTTTGTTTGCTGGTTAAAGACTTTGACTTATATTGAGAGAAAAAAGGATCAAGTTGGAATATTATTGGAATCAGGTTGAACCTTTTCGTGAATTTTTATGTTAACTAGGGCATTGTTAAATGATGGAAGTGGTGGCAGGGGCGTAGCCAGGGGGGGCCATAGGGGGCCCGGGCCCCCACTACGAAAATCTGATAATTGTTTTATTAAGTATTTATAGAGAAGAACCAGTTAATGTAGAGGAAGTGATGAAAGAAATGTCAAAATCAGCACGAGAAATTAAATTTAATGTATGAATAATGAATTAAATATTTAAACTTATGAAGAATGAATGCGAGTAATAAATAAATAATAATAATAATAATAATAATAATAATAATAATGAATATAGATTTAATGATACAAAATAACGGTTTTTTAATTTTCGAAAATGGGCCCCCCCTTAAAAATTTTCTGGCTACGCCCCTGAGTGGTGGTTAACCTTTTTCATTACAAGGCACAGTTCGGAATAGCGAACAACTTCGTAGCTTATCTTAAGATTCCAGTCTGAATTGATTTTTAAATGATTTTTAAACTAAGGTCATTTAAAAGTAGATTATGAAGTTCTAAGAATCATTTCTTGCTGTGTTTGACTAGCCCTGCTGTTCTTTCAGCACATCCAAATTCATAATTAAAACCTCACAATTTATATACCAAACATCTCCTCAATCAGACAAAATGTCAAAGAAATTCACAAAAAAAATATCGAGGGCAAAAAATGTGGTAAAGAAAAAGTTAAAAGAGGATTTAAGGCAGCAAAAAAAAAGCAGTAAAGTAAATAAAGTTCTTTACCGGTAAATCTTTTTCGTTCGTTGCCACTTCAGTCAGGTTCAAGATTTTCCTCTGGATTTTCATTTTGATTGATTCGCGCCTTAAACAGTTAAGTTTGCTTGATAGATTTATGTGTGTGTATCTATTTGTCTTATGGATGTGGATGTGGATGTGCAAGTTAAAGAAAATTCCTTCCTTCCTTTTTTAATGCCCTTTATTTCAATCTTTTAAATCCCATCTTTACGCTCCCTGCTGCTTTCTCTTTTCATTTTGCTTTAAATAAAGTTTTTTTTAAAACAATTGTCGATAAATCAAATCGATTTTCTTACTCGGCAACTGCTACTTTTATTTGCTGCTTCTCCCTTTTAACTTTAATTTTTTATTGGATTTCTCTCAAGTGCTAATTGTTTGCCGGCTATAAAAACAGTGGAAATTTTTATTGCAAAACTTTTTTTCTTCCCATTCGTCTGACATGAAAAATGCTGGGCACAAAATTAAATCGATTGTTTGTTAAAGTTTAAATACTTTATTCATGGATGAATAGACGATACTTAATGAATATTTTATTCTCTCTCTTATTCATTTCAGTCCGCATGGTACCGCCTCATGAATAAAATATTTTCATGTAATTTTCATTGTGATTTAATTTAATTTTCACAAGATTTAATCGATGCGTAAATGAGTGGAAGGGATCAGGAACTGGAGCAAAATATAAAAATATATAGCAATTACGTTGGAACGAGTCAGAATTATATAAGAAGACTAATTGAATGAAAATCAATAGGAAGGAACTGAAGTTTTATGTCAGGCAATAATTGAGTCATCAAATCACATCCAAAGAGAGTCATGGAAATCAATTTTAAGTTATAAAGCCACAGGAAGAAAAAAAAAATCGGAAATGTTGGTAACAAAATATTTTTATGACTGTTCATGCTTCACTTCAATAAAAATCATTGAGTGTAAAAAAGGTGTGAAAAAAGGATTTTTATGGCACAAGCTTGAGGAGTTGGAGATTTATCATTTGATTCTCATTCCTTCTTGGAATTAAAAATGCCAATTTTAGTCAACCAATTTAAATCCATTAATATTTTTATGTACTTCCATTGTCCAATGATGCGTGAAAAATGTGTAATGTGTATTCAAGTTAATTAAACATTAATTGTCACAGCAGATGCTGATTTTTTTTTTAATGCACATTGTTGCTGTCTTTTGCAAATTAATTCAAAAATATTTTGACTTCCTTCACTTATGCCGTTCATTTATGACGTCCGGGGGGGGTCCTCAAGAAAAGAACAATAGAAATTCCTAGAAATCCATTGTTCTTTTTTGAAAAATCACCGTTAATTTCGGACGTCATATGTGAATGACCCCTTATCATGTTTAGTCATTGGTTGAGTACACACAGCTCATTACTGTGGACTCTTCTTGGTGTTTAAAGCTTCATCAAGCTTCTTAAATGTATTAAACAGCCTTTATTGGACTTTATCAGTAAACTTCATAAACATTTTTGACAGATTCTTAAAGTATTTAGGGAAAATATAATTATAAACAATTTTACGGTTAATAAAGCGTTTCAAGTTTCTATTAGCTTGCATATGTTCCAAGAGACGTTAAAAAAAACTTACTATTATTTATTTTGAAACATTGAGCTTGTTTTATTTCTATTCTTCACTTCATCAACAATCATTGAACCGAGAAGTTTATAATCCTAAAGGATCAAGATCAACTGTTTTAATATTTGAGTTAAACGATTCAAATGGAAACCAAATCAGCGTAATATCAAAACTCTTAACAACATTTTATTAAAATAATTTAACTACCTTTATTTATCTTAGCATCGGATTTCTAGTTGTCTTTACTTCAGTCATTTATCTATCAACCTCAATTAATCTTGTATGTGAATTTAAAGAGCAAATTTTGTGGCCAAATGAGAAATTTTATGGCTGTGAACTTAGTAACATGGCAAACATTTCAGCGCCTGAATTAGTTAATATCAGCTCAGCTACAGGCACACATCAAAATGGAAAAACCAATAATCATGTAAATTTATTTTTTGCTGAACGAAAAGGAATTGATTACTTCCCGCAAGGATTAGACAAAATCTTTCCGAATCTGAATGCAATGGTTGTTAAAAAGAACAAAATGAAGGAAATTCGAGCATCTGATCTAAGATCATATTGGAAACTTATTTACCTTAGTCTTTCTAGCAATTTGATAGAAGTCTTGGAAGATGGAACCTTTGACCATAATACTGAACTTAAATATTTACTTTTTGCTAGTGATAAATTGATACACGTTGGATTGAATGTCTTCAACAACTTGATTAAATTAAATTCCATAAGTTTTATTGAAAATATTTGCATCAACTCAAACGCAGTACATGATGTTTCAAAAGTTCAGGAAGTTGTAAAAAATGCGAAAACTCAATGCCGGGACTATGAATTTTTGAAATTGGATGGAAAGATTAAAAGCATGGAATCAGATTCTCAACATTTAAATCATGAAAATTTAATAGCTTTCGAGCAGAATCTTGATAATTTGGAGTTTGAAATTAAAAATTCTAGATTTTCATTTATTACAAGTTTAAAGTTAAGGATCAAAGAGCTACAAGACAAAAAATCGGAATTCAAACTCTCTCTTAATGGTAATTTCGAAAATATTAAAAGAACTGACGGAGTTCAAGTTTTGGATGACAAATTGAAAATTAATATTTATGAAAGTTTTGAAAAAATTGAAAAGGACCTTGAAGGATCTCACATGTATATCTTAAAGGCAGTTGACATGAAGATGAAGGAATTTGAAACCCGTTTGATGGAAAAGCTCCAGGAAGTTTTGTTACAAAATGTAAATTTAATATTGAAAGGCATGGAAAATGGAGATAAAGGTTCGGATTCAAAAGTCACTGATTCAAAAGTTTAACTTTTTTATGATTAAATAAAAGAAAAATGAATTTTTGTCAATAAAACTTCGTGTTAAATTTTGATTTAATTAATTTTGTATTATTAAGTTGTATGAAAAACGTTCTGCTTTAATTAAGTCTTTACTCTTCGTCTACGATATTATTTCATTATATAAATTTGTCGTTCATTAACGATTTGTGGAAACTATAATTTCTCGTTAATTAAGCGTTTCTAATTCCATAAATTTTCAACATGAAAAATAATTAACAATTGACATCCAGCAATTACTGTAACTTGCATGAAAAGCTTTTGTTAATGCAAATTTCAGTATAAGAATAGTCAACTTACTGATGAGTCTTCAATAACTCCTTCATATTGTTCTCTCTTAAATTATTAAACTCTTGAAATGGAATCAAACTTAATGTAAGATTAAATCTTAAACTATAATTAAAAATAATCATTTACATTTCTTATTCCTCATAGCCTTATTATTACAGCACTCTTCTTCTCAACCTTCTTTCTCTCAATGTCAACTGAAGACACTACTGAGAAAGTAATTAAAATTATTAACGATGATAAACCAAAACAAAATGTTTATGAGTTGTACCAAAAAGTTGAAAATGACCTTGCAAATTCTCAAATTTACATGTTAAAAGAAATCAATACAAAAATTGATGATCTTGAGGAGCGTTTGATGAAGAAATTTGAGAAAGATTTAATGGAAAATGAAGGAACAATATTAAAATTGTTGGAAAATAGAAGCATCCATCATTCAATTCTCCACTAAAGTGCTTAGCGTTTATGTCAAACGTTTAAACATCTCGTTCCAATATAAAAGTATTCTTATAAAAACTTATATTTAAGTTCACAACTTAAAAATTCAAATTTTCTAAAATATTTTTAAAAAACAGAAAAAGGCACAGAAGTTTCCAGAAGACACAATGATTATGCAACATTCTTTGAAATAAAATGACTTAAAACGATAAAAAGTTGTTCCTTGTTAGATTTTCAACATCATTCAATGATAATTAACAAGCAAGCGGAAAAATCTTTTCCATACATGAAGTTTTCAGTTCCTTTATGTTATCATTTGCGATTTTTCTTTCAACACAAGCAATTTTCTTTTTGATATTAAAAACTTTTCTGCTGCTTATTTTTTTGCAGACTCTAATTACGCACTCATTTTCATGAATAAGCTGCATCTTTTTATATTCATTGATTTTTTTCAACAGTCAGTTCCAAAAGTTGCTCAAAAGTAAGTTTTCATCATTTCTGTGATTTATTGTTGCATCAGACGAATGAATCTAGTTTCAGCTTAATTTTATCGACAATCCTCAGTGTGAAAATAGAACCGAGGATAAAAAAGGAATCGATAAAAAACAAAGTTAATAGAATATTCAAATCTTTGTTTCAGCTCATCTCGTTCGAGTAGCTTCATCACAATATAAAAAAAAATAGAAAGTAATTCCATATTGCTTTCAAATGAAATTGATTTCCATTTATCTTTATCAATTTACCCCCTTGCTTTATTTCCAATGCTTACTCCTCAGCTTCCTTTCTTCTTCTCGCCCTTTTACAGCTCTGTAATCCAGCTGATAATTTTCTTTCGCTTTATTTTCTTTTTATTGAAATTTGAATCGTTAAAAGCGAGCATAATGGAAATTGAAATTGAGACAAAAAGTAATTGATAAGATTGTCAGAAGATTAGACGAAGAAAATGTCGAACTTTTAAATTGTATTAAATTTTTCTATAATAATTTTCAATAGAAAATTTGAAAAGATTTAAATGCCAAATTGGGGTGGGATCGAGTTTTTCAAAAGACTGTTTGTTAAGTCATTAGTGAGTCTCCTTTGATGTCCTTTTCACCAGTCATCTCCCTCCTCCTTCAATTAATTATAAATTTTAAAATTTATTCTTTTTGCATAAGTTCCAGGAACAAAAAATTTTAAAATCAATCTATTATTGAAAATACAAAGACGTACAGGTAGTAATGCAACCTTTATCTTATAATATTCATTCTATAAACTAGTTCCTTGTAAGAAAGCAATTTGCAGAAATCGAAAAATTTTAAAGCTGCTTAAAAGATTATTTACTTTGTTCACACAGACATGTCGAACTTTGATAACAAAATAAACAAAATTTTGACCTTCAACATATAGAGTAGCTCTCACACATGTGAGAGACTTGGTGTTGTATATTGTTACTTCCTCTATTCAATTTTAGAAATAGGCAATAAAAAATTTTGAAACTTCGGAAATTTCAAAAAAATGTTAAATTTGAATTTTTGAAATCCTTTGAACTTTTGAAAAACTCTAAAATTTTCAAGCACAAAAAACGGATTTAGACACTTCTATACACAAATAGCACAAGCATGAATGATTTACATTATTTTAATACATATATTCTCATATGTCTTTGTGAATTCTCAGCTTATGTCTCATTATTTAGCATTTCATTTAGAGCTCACTTTTCATTTATTTACGAAAGTAAGACGTTCCGTTTCGTTCAGTTTCGATTCTCTCTTCTCAAGTTGAACGTCAAAAATATTTCAAAAATTATGTGGTAAGAATTTTAAAGAACTGCTCAAGAACGTAATATTAAGCATTTAATCACAATATTTTAGGAAGTACACAGTTTTTATTATCTCTCTTACGGCAATTGCCATTTGTGCTGAAACTGAGGATGAAAATACACTAAAATGTCTTGTGAATCATCTCAAATCAAGAAATGTTCAAGAAAGTTTCTTTGACTCAATATCAAACAAATTCTCAACACCTGTTGATTGTCCAACCTTAATTAATGGACGATTGGAAAGAGCACACAACAAATTGGAAACAAAGCTTAAATCAGATGCCAATTTTGCAAAATATGCTGACTGCATTATGACAAACCTAAAGAGAAATGATGCAAATACGGAAATTATGTTGCGTCGAGAGGCAATTAAGTTAAATGGAGTTGGAGTTCAAATATGGAATTATTTCAATCAGAAGGAATATTTGGATAAATTGAAGAAGGAAGTGGAGAACAACATCAATACCACATATAGATCTAAATGCGCATAAATATGACTGTAACATTATTGACATTCAAATAAAGGTAATTAGGTACACTGTAATAAGGTTTTGATGAATAATCAATAAAATTTCAATCACGTAAATGCACAGTGCTGAATGTTGTGTAATTATAAAGTACGGAATTGTTTTGGTTTTAAATTTCAAAGCATTTTGTGTTATGCTATTCAAAAAAATGATAGTTTTGTTGTGAATGTGAGTCATTACTAGCAATTGGATGGCTGTTAAGTAGCGATGCTTGTTGAATCCTTGATTATAGATCCAGTAATTGATATATTGGAAATTAAAAAGCAGTTCCAGAAAGATAATTAAATCAACTTTTAATCATCGACCTCAAAGCGACTACACCTTCAAATTATAATCTCAAAAACTCATTTATCATACCAATTTCACATCTTTTTTTTGCAATTCCAATAAAATTGCATTTTCATTCTATTATGCTGCAAGCTTTTTATGTGTGACTTTTTTTGTTGCTGCTGCATTCAATGTATATGTGACAAATGATTGGGTTTTAATAATATCAAAATTGATTTTAAATTCATGGCATGAATGCAATTGTGGCTTTTTGTTGTTTTGTGCTGTGCAGCTTTGTATCTTGTCAAATATTATTGGAAATGCAATCGAGCATGACGCAATTTTGTGTATTTCTGAATATTTGACAAAAATCGATTTTAAATTTCCAATCACAGCTGAAGACTAAAAAGAATCAAGCAAAAGGAAACATGACATTAATCATAAAGAATGTCCTTCAACATCATTTTCATTTCCTTCTTTAATCCAGTGTCAGATTTTTAATATTAAGCACTGAAAGATAGAAATGAAAAGCTTCTGTCACTTCTCTGTGTCTATTCTCCTTTTTTCTTACAATATCATCAGGACATTTAATGCTGTTCTATGAGCGCCCTCGTATGTCAAGATTTGTTTGAACAGCTAATGGACATGTCAATAAAGTATCCAATTTTAAGTCGGATTTTGATGTATTATTGTGTCATTATGAAAGACTTTCCCTTGCTTTTTATTCTTCTAATATTCTAGTTCAATGTTTGCTCTTTAAATGACAAATAATGAAGTAAATGAATCGAGACCATAAAACGAGATACAGCACAGAAGTGAAGAATTAACTTTAAAGAGACAAATTTTGTTAATTTTAATTGCTATTTTCTGTCTTCTAGGGACTTCCAGTTCCATAAAATCGAGTTATATTCTTAGTAACATTAACCGGGAACCTCTAAATTGAAGCAGAACAGACTGTGCTGCGTTTGAGAATTAAAACTTTTGGTGCTGAACAAAATAAACATTTTGCATCGCAATAAAAACAGAAATTCCTTTTAATGACTAAAAGGAGAGACGAAATAGAACATAAAATCAAGTCACAAAACTTAATCCCATGCAAATAATTCAGCTCTAGTTTTTATTACTTTGTATTTGAGTAGAATGTATGAATGCATTAGATTTAATGTATTTCAAGTAATTTAGAAAGTCTTCGAATGTGTAAAGTGACTTTTTGTACCATTTTTGCCAGTAAGAATCATAAATGACTTCTCGTTCAAAAAGCTGCTGATACCCAAATCGACAAAGGAAGTCAGCAAATCGAGGATAATCTGTAGATTCAAAACAACTACGATAAATTGAATAGGACATGCTGTCTTCCAAATATTTCTGTAGTTCCTGATTCTTTAAAAGTTCTTGTAATTTTCCTGTATTTTCATTCTTCCTTAATATCACAATTCTCCAAGATGGAAACAATCCAAAGCGCACTTGCATCATCAGTTCCATTAAATATTTTTGTCTCTCATTCCAATCATAAAATAGCCATCGTGCTGCTGCATAGAAAATCTCAACTTCAGAGTTGATTCCAATATTTTCTAATTGCAGCCATTGCTTGACTTCATCCTTATCCATTTTAACAAAATCGTGAGTAGCAATGACTGTAAGAAAAATCTTCTTGACTTGTTTCATCATCATTGACTGGATTTTTTCATATTTCCATGTCCTTGCTTCTTTATACATTAAATATGCTTGATCTTCCTGAAACCAGTTGACATTTTGTATGAGATTCCAGCATTGCTCAACAAGTTGTGATACCTGAAGATATTCAGCACCAATTAGCAATGGAATCAATCCATCACGTTCAATTTTCTTTGAGGTTGAAATCATCCATCGATAAATGCTATAAAATGCATTGGGATTGATGGCAGTTCCATTCAATTCAATCACTTTCTCGTCCTTTGATCTCTTGGCAAAAAAATCAGAATAACATTTCAATATCAGCAACTGACACTCAAATTTCTTTTCATCAATTTGGACTAGAATGTCATAAGATTTTGACTTCTTATATTCAGCTATGATGAGCTTCTTTAGATCATCTTTATCCAGCAATTTCGGATATTCTTTCCAACGGAATTCATATTTATCAGGACAAATCTCGTTAATACTTTGCTCGACATCATCACTTTCGGTATTTTTATGATCACTGACTTGACTTTTATTGCATTTTGAAATATCATCAAGAACTGCTGTAAAACCTGCTATCAAGTCTTCTGACATTTTTTCTCTTATTTTTTTTTTTTTTTTGATGTAATTTTTGTACAAAATGTGGATCAATGTGAACTATGATTATTTTCTATAGATACAACATAGTTTCGAGTAAGTTCATCACATGATGATGATTTTTTCATCCTATTAATCCACTTGAATGATAGTTTAGATGATGTTTAAAGGATTAAAGGAACTTATTTATTATTAAACAATGTACTTCGATTTCTCCTTAATCTTCTACATCATGATTATGTCTATGTCCATAAAAAGAAAAAGGAAAAACTTTTCTCGTATCCAATAATCACAAAAGATTTTTTTCATTTGCAGTTAAAGGCTTAAATACACAACAAAACTTATGCTGCAAAATAAGACAATGCATTGAACATTCTCGTGTTAATGAAGAAGGCTCAAATACAGAACAATGTCAATGATAAGAACGAAAATAAATGTGTAAATGTAACTTACTAGAGCATGTGTGTATGTGTGTATGTGTTTAAATGTTCAAGTTGGAATGGAACAATAGTAAGGAGAAGTAAATAAATTGCTTTTCCACCTCATGAAACACACAAGATAATTCTAATTAAACCGAAATTAACGTTATGGAAATTGTATCATTGAGAAATAAATGTATGTATGTATGTATGTATGTTTGGTTAAAGGATATGAGGCGAGACTTAAAAGATTATTTTTCTGGAAGGCTTAAAACTTTTCTTCTTCATTTTCTTATCGCAATGATTCTTCGTGCTTCACTTTTACTACATTGCTAGATGCGATTACTATGATGCTTAGTTTTATAGGAGCTCATTGACTATCTGTACCTGATTGAAGATCTGATTGAATTCGAATTAGTTCAAAGAAGTTCAAAAATTAAAATTTACAAAACCGTTAAAATTTGAATTTCACAAAACCGTTACAATTTTCAAAATATCAACCAACTCAATTTAAATGCGTTGCAGCTCCTCAATTAAGATCCGAAATTAAAAAGATCAGTTTTGAAGATGATAATGAAGAGATTTCCTTAAACTCGAAAATTTTTCTGCAAAGTTTCATCTTTAAATCCTTTAACAACAAAACCTAATAATTTTCACTTCACGTGAGATTCCTCGAGGGTGTTCTTAATAGTGACGTGAGACTCAAAATTATTTCTATAGAAACTGAAAATTAAAGACATAAGCACACACAAACATATTAAGGAATTTACTCCAATTAATTATCATACACAACATTGAGCTATAAAAATAATTCACTTAAGCTACTCTCAAAGTCCAATTAAAAGGGGATTAAGGAGAAGAGCTTTCTGATGTTTTCGCAATGCGATATTAAAGGATAAAGAGGAAAGATACTAAATTTATTGCCATGTGATGTTATTATTTATTTAGAATCTACTGCAATTGTATTCAGTCATTCTTTATTGTCTCTTGTCTTAATTATTTAAACTTTATATATTGTACATTGTGTATTCGACTCAGTGATTTATTGATTTGTTTTGGCTGGGATTAGGTATGCATTTAATTTTATGAATTTTCGGGACTTTGATCTAGCATGAATGTGAGTTTCTGCTTTGTTTGGTTAATTGCTTGGATTTTGGTAAACATTATTAAATAAATTCCGTTAAAGTTGTTTTTGAATTTTTTCCCGTTTAAACAATTCAAATCAAATAAAATTCAAATATTTTCTGTAACGAATTTTTTTCAAGAACCGAATAAAGTTTCAAGATTCATTTTTAATGAAATTCTTTCAATCTTTATCTGCTAAATTATCTCGAGAATAAAACTTTTTCGCAAACAAAATGAAATTGTACATTGAACGAGGAAAAGAATGAAACAGAAATTGAGCTGTTGATTGCAAATGAATTGAGAAAGGAATCAAATTGAGAAATTTCAGTCACGTTTTGTTATTCAACAAGTTTTTCTTCTCACTCGATGCTTCCGGATGTTTCCAATAAATGGGAAAATTAAATGAAATGGAAACGAAAAACTTCTTCGAATTGAAATGAAAAATTTCTTCACGTTTTTTTTCATCGTTTTCTTAATAAAGTTTTAGTTCCATAAGAATAAAATCAAATATTTGGAAACTTTGGGTTTAACATACAGCACATATTCATTTAATTTATTCGATATTGAGCTGTAAATTGCATTTTGTTTCCCTTTAATATTTTCATCTTGCATTTGACATGTTAATAAAGGATAAATCTTCTCATGAGAATTATTTACTTCACTAAGCAACGATACTTGCTTCTGTTTCCCTTGTTTTGACATTTTGGTTACTTGTGTTTTAAGTCTTTTGAAATATATTGTATTTATCGATGACTAGCCACAGAATGCAGAAGAATGTACTTACTCGGCAGAGCTTTTACATTCCATTGTCGATTCCTAACCAAGTATCAATTTTATTTCCTCAAACTCTAGTTCTGGTACATTTTTTTCAACTTTATTGACCTAAAACATTTCATTTCATATCTGATAACTTATGCTTTTCTCTGTAATTGAATTTGAGTAGCCAGCACTATTTTCTTCATCTTATTCTTGTTGTTCCTATTGTCCAATCAATTTATTTAAGCAAAATTGAATCAAATTAAATTACTTTCAATTCCACAAGTCAATGAGAAATGATTCAAAAGAACCAACTAATGAGCTTTTGATGAATCAAATTTGAAATTGAATTTTCTAACAAAGCTGGAATGTTCTTCATTTTATGATGCAAGTTTATCTTTAGCATGAAATCGCATACATTCACATTCATTGCAATACTCACTGTGCATGTATCAATTTCTTATTCTTCATTCTAAAGAAATTTTGTTCAGATTTGGAAGCGACGAAGTGTGGAAAACGATTCAACACTCGTACTCAATAGTTCAGCTTTTAGTTGATTTTTTTGATGGATGTTGCTGACTTTATTGACAATTTTTCCGACTGTCTATATCTGAATTGGACCTTGATTCGATTGATTCCGAAACCTGGATGATGAAAAATGCACTCAAGACAAACCTTAGAGTTTACAGGTTCATTCCAACTTAACAACATATCAGAAGACTTTACTTCTTCCATCATTCTCATCATCATACGATTTGATATCATACAACTACTGTTCAAATTGTGGAAAAAAGGAAGAAATATCATTTTTATAAGAAGGAAGTTTTTCCGTTCCTTTTTGTAAGTTTCAATAAGCTTTATTGAATTTAACTCGAGTTTTTTCTTTTATTTTTCCTGCTTTTTCATACACAATTGTTGCTGTTGTTATTGCTTTGAAGCATGCACTCATAGAAAAAAAGTAACCATAATATTTGTTATATGTTTGTTAAACTAGTTTAACAAATTATTGGTTAAGTTTACATGGGTAAAAAAAATTTCAACCAAACTATTTGTTAAAAATTTTACAATTGAGTTTGTTAAATCAACAAATTTATTTGTTAATAATTGATTTAATTAAATTTTAATTTTTGTATTCAAAACTCTTGTTTGATTAATTTCAAACGATTCCCATTAATTTATTGCGTTATTTTTAATGAGAAAACTGCTTTAAATTGAATTTTGTTGATTTTGTTTAACAAATTAATTTGTTAATTTTAACAAAACATTTGTTACAATGTTTTTAT